TGGTAACGACCGATGTTGAGCAAAGCGAGTTCGGGTCGCACAGGATAAGATCAATCAACGCCGCAAGTGTATTTTCCCCACCATAGACCCTCCGTAAGCTAGTGTTTGTACCTTCTTTCGCAATGACTGTCGGAGGACAGTTTAGCGAGAGCGGCTTTGTTTTGGATTAAGTCAACCGGATAACTTAAAACATATCCAGGATAGGTTGAACTAGATTCGTAGTATACCCCCCTGCTCCGGAGCAGGTTAGGTTGCAGGCTAAGCGATCAACTCAGTGAAAGCACCGCCTGCTGACCAATCAGAGCTCAGTGTGCGGAGTTTAAAGCGATCAAGTCATATTACAGGAGAAAGGAAATACAGAAAAACTGCCGTTGCAGGAAAGACGGCCGGCAAAAATCAACTGACTGTGTGAACGTGAACATTAATAGAATATCACCTCCCATCTTCAGAGCAATCTGACTATTATATAATATTAGCGTTAACAAAGCTTAATTAAATATCTGCCACAACATCAGTAACCGGATCAGAGTAACATTAAGTACAGTCCACGGCATATCACATCATAATGTATCGTATATTTCCTTATCTGAGTCAGCTCCTTGAGCTGTATCTGGCCGTGCCACACTCACAGTGTCACATACTGTATGCAGAAGTATTATTTTAAGCAACACATTAAGTTGACGAAACACTCGAGTCAAATGTAATTAAAGTCAGATCGTGTCTTAGACGGGGGGGCAGTGATATCATAAACCTGTTAATGTACGCATTCAAAACACTTTTTCTTTTACCAGCTGTATTCACCTTGCAGGTGCAACTATGTGGCTTTTATCCTGGATAAAGTGTTTAAGTCATTGATGTTTAAAGTTTAACTTCTTCATATGTCTAATATTATAGTTGACTTTTCATTCAGGAAGTATGACGCGCTACTGTCAGTACGCTTGTCCATGTTTGTGATTGGTCGAATGCTCCAAATATCACCCCTTTCACCCCTTTTCAACGTGCACCTAACTAGATAGGACACGGCTGGCTTGAGCGATCGACTTGATAACCTGCGTCGTAGTACAGTTTAGCGAGAGCGCGTATGTTTTGGATTAGGCCAACCGGCTAACTCAAACATATCCAGGTTATGTTGAACCAGCTTCGTAGTACAGGCCTCAGGTGTGGCCTGGTAGTTGGAGGCTAAGCCCTGCTTCCGAAAAGACCAAAATAGGCAGGGGGATTTAAAACACTATTATATAAATAAAACTGCTGAACACTGGCTGATATTGTTTTCTGATCAGAGCTTTAGCCTAAAATGAGTCCAGGCTTTCATAAAAGTAATTGAAAGTGTTATCTTTGTTTATGTCTGAGGAGGTACCTGCTGGCGAGGGTGTCGATGCGCTCCTTGATGCGATCAGAGTAGATGTTGTTCTGGCTGATCAGACTCTCCCCGGCTTCGATCACAGCTTTGATCCTGTGCAGGTTCAGCTCCATGGTGGTGGTGAAGTCCTTGTGTTTCTTTATGGCCGCTTCCACTGTTTCCAAGGTGGTGGGCAGCTCCACGTGAGCCAGGGCCGACTCCTGCAAGGCAAGATGGGAACAGTTAGGTAACTGCTTGGTTCTGGAACTCAGTGAAGTCATAACATCAAATCAAAGTAAAGAGTCTACGATGAATATAAATATATCAGAAGGAAAGAATAAATGAGCATTTCTTTGGCTGATATTGGCTTATTTCTAAAACTGCATGTCTACTTTAGCCTACAATGGAAAAATCCGATGGGCAACTCTTGATATTACTATTCAACACACAGTATTGTTTGAATATCTTTAGGTTTGCTTACGTACGTGAAACAAATCCAATCATTTGAAGACATTAGGACATTTTGAATTTGTGTAATCTTTACTGTCATTTAATGGACTTAATAGTAAGTTAATGAGGGGTATTCAACTAAAATTCAACGAGGTCCAGTTAGAGAAAATGTCCCCATGCAAAGGTCCGGAACATCAAATGTCTAACTTGCTTCATGAATAAGTGTGATATATATTGAAGTAGCCTGCAGCTTTATCAACGTCTGCATGTAATCAACAACTGACTGCCAATCAAATAAAGAAAGTACAATTCAAAAACAACAATATTTATTGTCAATTAACATTGGACTATACAGATATACAGTAAATACTGTGGATATGTGTAATGTTCCTCTCGGGCAGCATTTAAAAATAAAATAGAGAAAATAAATAAAATAGCTTTTGAAAATATGTGCATCTTAAAAGTGTTTAATTTTAGATATATAAAATAAAGTGTAGCAGCAGCTTGAGTTTCCCTTTTTCTTTGTTAACCGTTTCACATCATGACTTAACAGTTTCAGAAGATTATAGAACAATATCAGTCTTTACACATCATAACAATTGAACAGTTTTAAAGTTTCTCTTTCTTTCCCTCTTATATTGCAGTCCCTCACTCACTTTTTTTTAAATTCAGTGCGAGAATTGAGCTTGAGCTTGTCCTGCCAGGAGTTTGTAATTCTGGGCTGAAATGGTGTCAGGGCCATTCTCATCCACACATGCAGGTGCTCATTGGTTACAGTGATGCAAACACAGGTATGGTGAAAAAAGACAGAACTATTCGAAGCAGAAAAAACAGCGTAATAATACCATCTGACAAAGTGCCTGTGCTATAATGCTTAAATAACTGGCCTATTCTTTATAATATACTCGATCAATAGGAGACAGAGATGTTAAGTTATAATCAAGGGTTTTTTATTATTATTCCAGGCAGGGGTGGAACCTTTTTCCTTCAATTTTACAACATCCTCTGAGGGGTCGTACAAAGTTGTCGGTACGAACATCTAGTTGAACGCTCAACCTGCTGCTTTAAAAAAACTGAAAATCACAGCCCATTGCCATTTCGCCTTTCTCTTTCATGCTGTGCAAAGAAAAAGCAACCTCTTAATCCAGATACTTCATGACTCACATACTGCCATATGCATGCATGTGCACGGTGGGTGGCATGACCACCAAAACAGAAAGATTATGGACCACAAGATGTGTGCTAATGTCATTCATGTATCCTATCCATGTGAACTCTATCCATGTGAACATGATTTCAAAGTGTGTGGG